CCAGGCTGGAGTGCAGTGGCATGCTCACAGCCACCGCAGCCTTGGCCTGCTGGACTCAGGTGATCCTTCTGCCTCAGCCTTCCAAGTAGCTGGAACCACAGGTGCATACCACCATACCCAGCTAATTTTTTCATTTATTTTCTTGTCAAGTTGCCTAGGCTGGTCTCGAACCCCTGGGCTCAGGCAATCCTCCTCTTGCCTCTGCCTCCCAAAGTGCTGAGACTACAGGTGTGAGTTTCCTAGCCCAGCCATAAAAGGGTCTTTTTAAAGGGTCTTTAAAAGATTTTTAATTTTTTTTGTTTAAAATTTTTGTTGTTGTTTTTAAAACAGTCTCACCATGTTGACCTGATGGGTCTCAAACTCCTAGTCTTCCTAAGTGCTGGGATTATAGGCATGAGCCATCACACTCAGCCCTTTAGCAACTTTTAAAAAGTGAATTCGGCTGGGCATGGTGGCTCACGCCTGTAATTCCAGCACTTTGAGAGACAAGAGGATTGCCTGAATCCAGAGATTCAAGACCAGCCTGAGCAACATGGCAAGACCTTGTCTCTACAATAAATAAAAAAATTAGCCTAGTATGGTGACTCGAGCCTGTGGTTCCAACTACTTGGAAGGCTGAGGTTGAAGGATTACCTAAACCCAGCAGGTCGAGGTTGCGATGGTCGTGAGTGTGCCACTGCACTCCAGCCTGGGTGACAGTGAGACTCTGACTCAACAAAAAAAAAAGAAAAGAGAAAAAGTGGAATTCGCTCAGGCTTGTGAGATTCTCTATTACTTTCCCCACTTGAATGGCAATGAAACCAAAGTTCAGGGGATGACAGGCAGTTGTTGAGCTGAGATATGAACCCAGGCCTATCTGACCCCAGAGCTGGAGTGCGTGATCACCGTGCTATGTGGCCTCCCTGGCCGATATCTATTTGCTGGAACTCTTATTAATTGGTGTGTCGGGACATCTGTGGTACAATGGAAATTGATGTCTGTCCAGATGACATTGGGATCCTTTTACACCAGGGCTTCTGCACAAGCAGGGGAGGGGAGGGTACCGCAGCCTCCCGGGAGCGTGTTCAACGGGAGAGCATGAATTTATACTGGGAAAACAAACCCCAAACACCATCCTTTCCCCTTTATGACAAAGATTCAGAAAGTGAGACAGGACAGAACTTCTGGTCTGATAGGGAGATTAAGAAGCCTGCGTAGGCCAGGCATGGTGGCTCACGCCTGTAATCCCAGCACTTTGGGAGGCTGAAGAGAGATGATTGCTGAAGTCCAGGAGTTCGAGATCAGCCTGGGCAACACAGTGAGACACAGTCTCTATTTATTTATTTATTTAACTTTTGAGTTGGAGTCTCACTCCCAAGCTGGAGGGTAGTGGCAGGCTCACAGCCACCGCAGCCTTGACCTGCTGGACTCTGGCAATCCTTCCAGCTCAGCTTTCCAAGTAGCCGGAACTACAGGCAGGCTCCATCATGCCTGGCTAATTTTGATTCATTGTAGAGATGAGATCTCGCCAAGTTGCCCAGGCTGGTGTCGAGCCGATGGGCTCAGGCAATCTTCTCACCTCCATCTCCCAAAGTGCTGGGATTATAGGCGTGAGCCACTGTGCCCGGCCTCCAGTCTCTATTTTTTTAAAAAAAGCCCCATATAGAGAAGGCATATCATTTTGTCAACAAAAAACTCAGGCGTGGATATTCCACAGTTTTGTGATATGGATTTTATGGTATTGGACCCAGTTCCTTTGGGAGTTGCTTTGTTTGTTGTGTGTCCTGAGCCAATCTCTGCTCTGCAGAAAAGTGAATGACCAGGTGATTCTGGTTCTTTGAGCCCCCATGGAGAGCCCTGGCTGGGCTGGGCCAATGTTGGCAGTAAAGAATCAGCACCGGGTGTTGGGCGCCACGGCTCATGCCTGTCATCCCAGCACTTGGGGAGGCCGAGGCGTGAGGACTGCCTGAGCCTAGGGGTTCGAGACTAACCTGGGCAACTTGGTGCAGCCTTGTCTCTACAATAAATCAAAAATTAGCTGGGCATGGTGGCATGTGCCTGTAATCCCAGCTACTGGGGAGGCTGAAGCAGAAGGATTGCCTGAGCCGAGCAGGACAAGGCTGTGGTGACCATGATTGGTGATCATGCCACTGCACTCTAACCTGGGCAACAGAGTGAGACTTTGACTAAAAAAAAAAAAAAAAAAAAGTCAGCACTGGGGAGGAGTGCTGCCAGGGACTGAGACCGTTCCTGGTCCATAGGCAGGTGAGCTGGTGGGACCCCGGGCACCTCTGAATAGTAATGCCTGGATCTCAGGGAGGAAGCTGCAGGTTCCTGGGCTTTCTGGGCGTGATCACAGGGGTCTGTTAGATGAAGGCTGCCTGGGGGACCAGGGATCCCTGCGTGGGGTTCTGAGGGCTGGGAGCGACTCCCTGTTCCCTGCTTCTGGGCAGATGAGACTGCCTAGCCCTGCTGGTGGTTTCTGGCTCTCTGGGGGATATAGCTCAGTCTCAATCTTAATTGATTTTCTTGCTTTAAAAAAATGACCTTTTTGTCATGTGTATGAATAGAAGTAATATATGCTCATTAAAAAAAAAATCAGAGGCCAGGCGCAGTGACTTGAGCCTGTAACCCCAGCACTTTGGGAGACCAAGGCGAGAGGATTATCTGAGCCTGCGAGTTTAAGACCAGCCTGGGCAACTTGGCAAGACCTCATCTCTACAATAAATCAAAAAATTAGCTGGGCATGGTGGCATGTGCCTATAGTTCCAGCTACTCGGAAGGCTGAGGTGGATGGAAGGATCGCCTGAGCCCAGAAGGTCGAGGCTGTGGTGACCGTGAGTGTGCCACTGCACTCCGGCCTGGGCAACAAAGAGTGAGACTCTAACTCAAAAAAATAAAAGACGTAGCTTGGGGTGACATCTGCCATCAGCTGGGGGCTTGCTGAGTCTCTTGTCCTCTCCCACCTCTGTACTGAAGGCGTCAACGCCTTCCCAGGGGAGATGGAGCCTGAAAGTGGTGGCACTGGTGTGGGGCTGGGACCCTTGGGGAATCTAGGCCCGGCTTGTATTCTTTGAACTTAATTTTTTGAGTCAGGGTCTCACTCTGTCACCCAGGCTAGAGTGTGGTGGCACGCTCACTGCCACTGCAGCCTCGGTGATCCTCTTGCCTCAGCCTCCCAAATAGCTGGGACTACAGGCCCATGCCACCACGCCTGGCTAATTTTTTTGACTTTTTTGTAGAAACGAGGTCTCACAATGTTGCCCAGGCTGGTCTCAATCTCCTGGGCTCAAGCAATTCTCCCACCTTGGCCTCCCAAAGTGCTGGGATTACAGTTGTGAGGCACCACATCTGGCCCTGCATTTTTTTTACATATCAGTGTGGTACTTTCTGCTGGTTTGTTGTCTTTCACTGAACCTGAGGCTCACCATGTCACTCCATGGCCCATGGAGTGGTTGGGAAGGGATGTGGTGACTCTTTTTTTATTTTTTTGGAGTTGGAGTAGGAGTCTCACTCTGTTGCCCAGGCTGGAGTGCAGTGGCACGCTCACGGCCACCGCAGCCTCAACCTGCTGGGCTCCAGCGATTCTTCTGTCTCAGCCTTCCAAGTAGCCGGAACTACAGGCACACCTGGCTAATTTTTTTGTTTGTTTGTTTTTGAGTTGGAGTCTCACTCCAACGCCCAGACTGGAGTGCAGTGGCCACCCCCGGCCACTGCAGCCTCAACCTGCTGGGCTCCAGCGATCCTTCCGCCTCAGCCTTCCAAGTAGCTGGAATCACAGGTGCTTGCCACTAGGCC